TGGAAAAATAAACTCTCAAGTTACCCTATTCTTTCCAAGGTTGCTAAGGATGTACTTGCTTTCCCTAGTTCGACCGTAGCTAGTGAAAAATGTCTTTAGCCTTGGAGGAAGGATTGTGGATCCGTTTAGAGCTTCTTTGACGCCTAGGATGGTTGAAGCGTTAGTTTGCACGAATGATTGGCTAAGAGGAGAGGAATTTCAATTTCACAAGGAGCCTACGGACGAAGAGCTTGAGTTCTACATGGAACTTCGAACAATTGGAACAAAGTAAGTATTATTTTATTAATATTTTTGTATTCATATTGTGCATGAATTATTTTTTGGTTATTGACTTATTTGTATTATTTTATAGGTATGCCCAATATTAATGAAATGCCACCACCTCGAGTTAAAAGTACAACTCCACCCGATCGATCAAACCGTGGTGGACGTGGTGCTACTTCATCGAGCAAATTAATAGATGAGGTTCTTGTAGTTTAATTTTATTATAATTAGTGTTATTTCTTTTAAAATATAATAACAATATTTTTATTTTCTTTATGCAATTTTTTTTTCTTATGTAGGAGGAGTAGCGGATTGGAATTTGGAGAGATTGGTGATATTGGACTTGATGTTGTTGCATTAGTTTATTTAATTTTCTTAATCATGTTGGAACTTTGAATTATGAAATGTTGTTATTGTTTGATTGTTAGACTTAATCATGTTGGAACATGGTGGATGAAGGTTTGTTCTTGCAAGTTGTATTATTGGTAGATGAATGTTGGGTATTATTGGTGGATGAATGTTGGAATGTTGTTATTATTGGAATGTTGGACTTAATCATGTTGGAACTTAATCAAGTTGCATTATTATTGCTAAATTTCGGTTTTTTTCGGTAAAAAACCGTTACCAAACCGAGCTTAATCAAATTGCATATTTATTGGTAAATTTCAGTTTTATCGGTAAAAACCGATACCGAACCGAGTTTCCGATAACTGAAAACTCGGTTACCGATAACTATCGGTACGGTAGCGGTTTCTTATTTTGTTGTTATCGAAATAATCGGTACGGTATCGGTTTGGTCTTATCGGTTCGGTAACCTAACCGATACCAACCCTAGTGAAAAATTCTTGCAGACATTGACAAAACAAGGATTGTTGAAAGATGTCAAAGTGTGCAAATTAGACTTTTGTGAGCATTGTGCTCTGGGAAAGCAGAAGAGAGTGAAGTTTGGAACGGTTATCCATAATACATAATGTGTCTTGGATTATGTTCATTCGGATGTTTTGGGACCTTCTAAGACCCCATCAATAGACTGAAGATGCTATTTTGTCACTTTCATCAACGACTTTTCCGGACGTGTTTGGGTGTACACTATAAGACGAAGGATGAAGTGTTTGGTGTCTTCATTACATGGAAGACACAAATTGAGAATCAGACTGGAATGAAGAACGGACAATGGTGGAGAATATACAAGTGATCCCTTTCAAGAAGTTTGCCGAAAAAATGGATTGTTAGGCACTTCACCGTTAGACGGACACCACAACAAAATGGGTTAGCGGAGCGCATGAATCGAACATTGGTGGAGAAAGTTCGATGTATGCTGTTCAATGCTAGTTTGGGCAAGGAGTACTGGGCTGAGGCTGTAACATACGCGCAACACCTCATAAATCTATTGTCGTCATCTGCAAAAGATGGCAAAACACCGTTGAAGGTATGGTCGGAAAAACCTGTTGCTGACTATGGATCTTTACATGTCTTTGGGTGTCCTACGTACTATCATGTGAAGGATTCAAAGTTATACCCAAGAGCGAAAAAAGGCTTTGTTCATGGGAATCACAATTGGCATGAAGGGATATCATCTTTTGTGTCTTGAGACGAACAAAACTGTGTTTAGCAGAGATTTTACATTTGATGAACAAGGTATGATAAAGACGACGCAAACCCAACAGGTGGAGTTGACACCGAACCAGGTGGAGATAGATGCGATGACGAGACGACCAACTATGATCGACGAACCAATATCAAAGGATTCATTGGATGATGAAATCCAGACTCAAGAATCATTAGAGTTACCATTGCATTGAGAAAGCCCAGACAAGAGATTCAACAACCTGCTCGATTGCAGATATGGTGGCTTAAGCACTTCCAATTGTTGATGATGACATACCTTTCACTTTTCAAGATGCAATTCAGAGTTTAAAAAATGAGAAGTGGAAAAGGGGCTATGAAGGAAGAAATGTTGTCTCTCCAGAAGAATCAAACTTGGAAGGTGACGCAACTACCAAAAGGCAAAAGGGCGATAGGATGCAAGTGGGTATTTGCAAAGAAAGATGGATTTCTTCAGAAAAATGATATGCGCTACAAGGCAAGATTGGTGGCTAGAGGCTACCTCAGAAGGAAGGAGTTGATTATATTGAAGTGTTTTCTCCAGTTGTTAAACACTCTTCCATTAGAATTTTGTTGGCCTTAGCAGCACAGTTGGATTTAGAGCTAGCTCAACTTGACGTGAAGACGGCGTTCTTACACGGAGATTTAGATGAGGAAATCTACATGACTCAGCCAGAAGGATTTAAAATTCTTGGAAAAAAGAATTGGGTCTGTAAGTTTAACAAATCGTTGTATGGACTGAAGCAATCTCCGAGACAGTGGTACAAAAGGTTTGATAAGTTTATGATTGGGCAGAAGTACACGCGAAGCAGACATGATCATTGTGTGTATTTATGCAAGCTGCAAGATGGATCTTTCATTTACTTACTCTTGTATGTGGATGACATGTTGGTTGCATCAAAGAGTCAAGTGGAGATTGATCATTTGAAGGCTCAGTTGAATCAAGAGTTTGAGATGAAAGACTTGGGGAAAGCTAAGAAAATTCTCAGGATGGAGATAAATAGGGACAGAAGGAGAGGCAAGCTTTGTTTAACTCAGAAGCAATATCTGAATAAGGTACTACAACGTTTCGGCATAAAAGATGAGACAAAACCTGTAAGTACACCACTTGCCCCTCATATTAAGTTAAGTGCCCAATTATCGCCAAATTGTGATGAAGAACGAGAGCACATGGATAAAGTCCCATATGCAAATACAGTTGGCAGTTTGATGTATGCGATGGTGTGTACAAGGCCCGACATTTCACAAGCAGTTGGTGTTGTTAGCAGGTATATGCATGATTCTGGTAAAGGTCATTGGCAAGCTGTGAAATGGATTCTACGGTACATCCATAGTACTGTAGACGTTTAATTAGTTTATGAGCAGGATGAATTTGGTCAGTGTGTAGTTGGATATTGTGATTCTGACTACGCGGGTGATTTGGATAAGCGAAGATCAACGACTGGATATTTGTTCACTCTTGCAAAAGCTCAAGTCAGTTGGAAGTCTACCTTACAGTAAACAGTTGTTTTGTCTACAACAAAGGCAGAGTATACGGCGGTTACTGAAGCTGTGAAGTAGGCTATTTGGCTTCAAAGTTTTCTTGAAGACTTGGGAGTTAGTCAAAAGCACGCCTTATTGCATTGTGACAGTCAGAGCGCTGTTCACTTAGTGAAAAATCAAGTATTTCATGCAAGAACGAAGCATATTGATGTTCACTATCACTTTGGTAACGCAAAACACTCCGACCGGCTTGAAATCGGCTCATCTTCCTCCTCTTCGCCGGTAGAACGCCGCGTTCCTGCAAAGAACTCTCACACCGGAGGGGTTTTCCGGTGAAGAGCCTCCGATGCTTAAGTCAGTGTATGTTTGTTCAATTTTCCAATGTAAAGAATGGATAAATCGTAAGTCTCCAGAAAAGGGTTCACTCCTATATATATATAGGAGTGAGATACCTACCCTAGAAGCTGCCCATATCTTGTTGAGCTATCCTGCCCGCGTTGCCCGTACGTACACACACAGTGTGCGTGTGTCAGAGATATCAGGGGTGGTTTTCACCACTATCACTCTGCACCAATGTACTCTCGCCACGTGTCCCTCTAAGCAGAGGGTGATTATTCTCTACGCATTCCGTTAGGATCTTCAGGCGTGACCCACGCGCTTTCTCGCATTCAAGCCACGCTCTCGATCGCTCTTCACTCGCCGGCTGTTCGACCTATCCGAGTTCTCCTTCGCTAGGTCGATCATCGACCAGATCCGCCATCCTGCTCGATCACTTCCCCCTCATTGATTACTGCTCGACCAGTGCGGTTTTCTCGGTATCGAGCCCGTACAACCTACATGGTAAACCGGTTTATTCTTATGGCATATAATGTCCCATATCACACTTTGTGCGAGAGATTTTAGAAGATGGAACCGTTGTATTGAAGAAGATCAAGACGACGGAGAATCCTACAGATATGATGACCAAGGTAGTGACAACAGTCAAGTTTGAACATTGTTTAGACTTGACCAACATTCTGCATATTTGAGTTGGCGCCGAGAGGCGCATTTGGAGGCATCGCCAGCAGTTGATTTGGATTGAAGAGTCGAAGTGGGCGCAAAATTAGTCAAGGTGGAGAATTGTTAGTTTTTGATTAATTTATTGTCCCACATCGGATGTATACCAAAGATGTGTAGGATCTTATTAGTATAAATAGGTCTCTTGCCTTTGGGTTATAATTGCACCTTATTTTATTCTCTTCTCTCTTAGAATGAGATCCTTAATTAAGGAAATCCTAATTTGTGGGTTATTTAACTCTAGTTGTATTTTGTTGGTGAGTTTAGTAAATTTGGCGTTGCAGTTGGCGGTGCCCGAAGACGTAGGCTTTTAATTAAGAATGAGATCCTTAATTAAGGAAATCCTAATTTGTGGGTTATTTAACTCCGTTATCAATATTGTGTCCTTTTTATTTCTCGTCTTTTATTTATTTGAGTTGGCTTATTTTTTGTTGGAATAGTGCTTGTCATATTTGTTGTAGGGGTATTTTTGTCCTCTGCATTTAGTGTTCTACCGCAACCGTCTTTTGACACTTTAACTTCTTGGAGGTACTTTCCTATATCTATAAATATCCACATGATTCACGTACCACACAAACTACAAACACAAAAATCGGGGCTAAGAAATCTCCCGCCCATCTAAACAAGATTCCATTGACATTGTGCATGCGGGCTCATCCAAACCAACAAGGCCCCATCTACTCCTATAAATATAATCACTTCTCACAACAATTCTCATCTCAAGTAAAAACTAAAACACATAATCATCTACAAGAACACACTTAACAATGCCGACTACTCTCCATCTCCTCACCTTCTCAATATTCCTCTTGCACCTCACCATCACCTTTTCCTCGCCAATAACTAGCTCATCTTCTTCTTCTTTTGCTCAAACCCAATTAAACTTGTGGTCCCAAAATGTGCAAAACAAGATGCCACCATCCATCTCCACAAAACTCTCACCACTCACCACCCACGACTCGGACTACTACACCACGGCCATAATTACATCACGAAACGCGTTCAAAGCCGACCCCAAATTTTGTATGCTAGCGGGACTAGTGTGCTCCACGGGTGGGGCCCGCGTGGTAAACGTGTTGAGAGAAGGGTATAGAACCTACGGCAACACGAACCCAAAGCAAACGGCGGCGCCCCTTGAGAAAGTGGACCCGTCCTTGTTCTTCAGGCTTTCGGCCCTTAAGGAAGGAAACTCAATCCGCCTCTCCGACCTCAAAGAGTCCTTACCCCACCGCGCATTTCTTCCAGCTCGAATCGCGTCGAGGATTTCATTGACCACCACAGGTTGGGATTAATTTGGCCGGATTTTTTTAACATGGATGGCCCACCCATTTTTATATTTAAGGTTTTTTTTAATAATTATAATAATTAAGGTAATTGGTTTTAAGTAATAATTTGAAGTGGTTTAATAGTTTCTGGATTTAGAAATTTACGCCAATTATAATATGTTAAGTGTTCATTTATATTTAACAAATTTCATGATCACCACTTTAATTTAATTGGAGTATTATTATCTTTATAATATAATTTCGTCTTAATTAGTTAACAAAAAAATAAAAATAAAATCTATTCTAGTTCTTTTAGTTTTCTTATTAAGGTACTGCCGATTTACATACTCGGTGAAGATATTATTGTACTAGCAAGCAAATAAAGTGATGTTTAGGTGTTATTATACCCTCAATACTAATAAAAGAAAATTAAAAAATGTAGATGGCGTGACGAGAATATTCCCGGACTCGGCCACGGATGCAATCGAGACCACAATCGCCTACTGCAATGCAAAGAACGTAAAAGGAGAGTTCAAAACGTGCCCAAGATCACTAGAAGAGATGATCGCCTTCTCAAAAACCGCATTGCGCACGGAAAAGCTTCTCATTCTAACTTCCGAAAGCACGAGAGGCTCGGGAGAAAATCTCATGATCAAGAACATTAAGAAGTTCGATTCGGAAAATATTGTGGCTTGCCACGAGATGTTCCTTCCTTTTGCGGCCTACTTTTGCCACTCACTGCCCTCGACTCAGGTTTACTCTGCAGACCTTGTTGACATAAGGACGGGTGCTCGAGTCAACACTGTGGTGGGGGTGTGCCACATGGACACGTCTGGTTGGCCCGCGGATCATGTGGCGTTTCGGGTTCTTAAGTTTGGGCCGGGCCAAGGGGAGGCTTGCCATTGGTTGAATGAGATTGATCTTGTGTGGGTTGCCGCATAATTTAATTATTTGCAGTTACTAATTTGTTGTGCAATGAGTGGGCTTTATTTTATTAGTAAGTTGTGCTTGTGTTTTGATTTGTGGCAATAAGGGGGGATTCCTAGTAAGCCGGGTCTCCATAGATGTGTGTTTGCTTGTTAGCTATTGTGATTCCTTGTTTACAATAAGTACTTCATATTTGTTAATTTCTTATGTAGTTACTACATGGGATTTTAACCGATCAAGACTTTCAGTATGTACTTATATATAGTTGATTATGACTCTATAATTGGTGGATTCAACAAATAACGAAAACAAATTTGATGGCAACGATCATAACAATCTAATAAGGTTCTAATCTTTGGGGTAAAAGAAGCATAAGGAAAAAAATACATAATACTCCACAAACTACTTAGAAATATTCCAAGATTCTTGGAGAAAATAATGACTAATAAATTGTTTAATTCCCTAATTCGTTGGAACAGTTCCCCAGGTTTCTCCTAGACCTCACATCCATGAAGGAGTTTACTACCTTTTTTTTCTGTCAAATTCATCTACTGTCAATGAGCAGTTCATAATAAATTAGTTCAACCAACACATTTAACAGTATAAATGAGCTCCTTGGTTGGGTCACTTGAATTAGCATAACCCTTTGGGAATTAAAGCTACAAAAAACTGTTCCTATCAGTTGCATTCTAAGTTCCTACAACAGATCGGAATGTGAAATGCTCTTCTTTGAAATTATCTCTTTCTGGGAGAAAGACGGCAGGTCCACAAATTGCTGTTCTTCTAAAGATTCATAAGTTGTTTTACATTATTTTATTAGGAGCATTTAAAAAAACTAGTAAAGTGATACATAATTTATATTTTAATGTGATTTTAAATTATATTTTCTCTTGTATATTTTTATGATCTATTCTATTTTTTGCATTACTATTTTCAATTAACCAAACACAAGAAGTACATTAACATAATGGACAGTGTCAAATATATTGAAAGTTGAAATACAATTTTGAAAATAATAATATTTAAAAGTAATGGTTAAAAACATTGCATGAAAATTTTGGTTAAACCTCCATTATCTAAGTTAGTTTTGTTTATTCGAAATCTTTTTTGTTTGGGGAAGATTGACAAATATGAACAGTAAAACTAAATTAAAATATTTTACATGAATAATTGCATGTGATAGTTTACAATTTTTTTTTTTTATTTTGTTGAAGGGGATCATTCTTTGTCATTATTTTTATTGACTAAATAAAACAGTCATAATTCAATTGACGTATGTCAGCAAAGTTTTTAAATATTATTCATTTTATCTTCCTTTTTTTTCAGTAAAATAGTTTCCGTATTATTTTTTTTTTCATTTGATCTGATTAAAAATAATTATATTCATGAATTATAAATATATATTAAGATTCAATTTTTGGTCGAACTTTTAAATTTTTTTCATTCAAATACAATTATATTTTTCATGAACCATTACAAACATATGGTACACAATTTAATTTAGATTTAAATAATTTTAAGAGATAATTCAAAAAATTAAAAACAATTATTTGGTAAATTATATTTTATTTTTGCTTAAGAAATAAATTGATTTAAATTAAATATTCATATTATATATAATTAGCAATAGTTTTGGCTTTCAGGTCACATTTAATGCTAAAATAATTACGATTGAATAAGTTGTGTAAATATCAAGCAGTTAATGTGTAGTAAACCACATAAAATATATAATCATAAGTTCATAAATAAAAAACCTTAAAATTTCCTCAAATACGTGATGTAGATGAACCATAATATTATAAACTTTGTCAAATTAAATATATATATACACAAAACATGAAAAAATTTTCGTATAACGTACCAAATATAATTTTTTATTCATTCAGGTTGTATTTATATATCATATGATATCTTAGGTTAGATGTAATGTCATTTACTTGATAATTTATCATAAAATTTATTGATTAAATACTTATTAAGTTGAAATTTTAGTTCACATAAATTCTTATATGAGACGGAATAGCTATTAGGCGGGTTGATCCTTCGTACTTTTTCTTAATAAAATTATATACGTATGCAATAAATCATTAAATTTTTATTTATGTTGGCTTTTAAAATATGATAATTCAATTTGAGTGTAGTATATTTTTTGGAAATGTATGAATGTTTAATCGTTAGACCTTCCTAACAATATTTTAATATTATACTATATTTTATAATAAATATGAAAAAATGTTAAAAATAGAAAAACATGTTAAAGTTTCTATAGTAATCTTGTTAACTCATTTTTACATTATTACACGACCTTTATTAGTTTCACATACAAATCACGTCTTTTGGTTAAAAGTTATTTTATAATTAATTATTTTATTTTATATAATTTATCTATTATTCAATATTACTTTATTTTAATGTAATTTAAATATAAATAACATTATAAATATTGAATTAATTATTTTTTAATAAATAAATTGACTAAAAGGAGAGGGAACCCTACAGTTGGATTGAGTTCACTTACGCTTGAAATCAAGGGACGAAGGGCAGGTTCCATTTCCAAAAGCATAGTTATGAGTAAGCACAGGATCCAGAACAACGGGCTCATCTATATAAAGTCGTTAAGGGATTCTTCTATTACTTTACTTCGTTTCGCTTCGTTCGTTGGGTGCGGAATACGGGTATTCCATTCTTTTTTTTTTCCATCCGCCCCTCGTCAATCTATCTTTGTGATTTTTAATAAATAAATAAATAGAAAATTTTAAATTAGTAATAATTTTTTTATTGATAAGTTAATATTTTGTTTGCCTATATAAACCTATTTTGTTTTGCTGTTATTTTTGAAAAAGTTTTGTTTTTGTTAGAATACTATTTTATTGATACTTAGGGGGGTGTATTTAATTAGGATTTTTAAGGACTTTTTAAGACTTTAGAAATCCTGGTGTATTCAATTTAGATTTGTTAAGACTTTTTAAAACTTTTAAAAATTCTGGGGTATTCAATTGGGATTTTCAAAAGTCTTACAAAATCCTGAGGTATTTAATTTTTTTGACACTAGGATTTATTAAGACTTTTTAAGATTTTCTGGGATTTCTAAACAAAAAACCTTATATGAAATCTCACTTCAAATCCTACCTCCGGACTTGAGATTTCATAGAATTCTTCAAAAATCTGAAAATCCTAGAAAGTCTCAAATCTCAAAAAGTCTTAAAATGTCACTTAAATTCCAAATTGAATACACCCCCCTTAATTGTGATTATAAATGAGATACTTAATGATTATTACAATTTTGTCATTAAAAATAACAGAAACACAAGGACTTTTTCCTCCATGCAATCGTACTTAAAACTCTGTTCCATTCAAATATTTAATTGTACTAATAATTTTATTATTAAAACATACCAAACACAAATGATATCTTAAAAAACGTTCATAACAACTACACAGTTAATAGTTTTTCCTTAAATAAAAATCACATAAAAATCATATAAAATTAACAAATAAAAATATTATAAATCACTAAATATTTAAAAATTGTTATTAAATATCATTTTAGTTTTTTATTTAGAATATATTTCCATATATAAAAAATCTCAGTATTCAGTTTATGGTGCAATCATGTATTCCTTTCATGAGTGATTAACAAAAAAAATTAAAAGAGTTATTTTATGATATTGACAATTAAAAAAATAATTTGTGTACTTGAAATAATATTTCAGAGATTGTAAGCTATTTATATATTAAAAAACTTTTTTATATCTTTATATTAACTCCATAAAAGTATTTCAATATATTTTATGTAATTCATCATGGTAGAAATATGTATCAAATGCGATATTTTGTAATTAAAGAAAAAAAAAAATTCTATTCAAAGTTGACATACTTTATTATTTATTTGACAAATATTTTCAATTACTTTTAGTTAACTAAATTTTATTTGTTATTATGCATACTTAGATGATGCTTGGATACAAAACATTTCAAACAAATCCAAACATTTAACTCAATCATTTTCTTTTTTAACTCAGTTTTAACTCAACCCCACTATCATCAATATTTTCAATATAATTAAATAATAACAATCAATCATTCTTACACACCACATCAAATGTAATTCACTATTCATCAAGTTACCTAATTTTAACTAACCATCACTTCACATCTTCTCTCTCTTACTTTTACATTAAATCAATTTTAATTATTTTATATTAAATATTATTTTAATATATTCACTAACTAACCACACCACCTTTTTCAATATTAACCAAGTCAAACCAAGAAAGTCCAAACAAAACCAAAATTTTTATATCCAATAAATTATACTTTTATCTCTTTTACTAATCGTTGTAATTATATTTTTACTATTATAAATGTAACCAATATAAAAGATGTCTTAAACAATCAACATCATCTATTTAGCAATAAGTCTTCGCATGTAATTTTTTACATGTTATCCATTTTTCAATTATAGAGTAGTTTTTATCATTATATTTTAGTTTATAAGTTTTTGTTACTTTTCAAAATTGACTTTTCCGATAAAAAAATATTATTGAAAATAGTTGTTACACTTTACTTTAATGAAATGCACCTTTTCACTAAACTATGTAGTACATAATTTATAAATTCATAGCATAATAAATAAAATTTGATATTAGTTAACATTTTCATTTTTTTGAATCAACTTATTACCGTGTTTAAATATTTTAATTCTAGAAATTAAATATTCATATGAATAAAAATAAAATAATTATATATTTTTATAATTTTATTGGATATTATGTAAATAAGTTCACGTGCAAAATATATTTTTAGTTTTCTTTCATGTTATATAACATATTTTTCTTTATTCCTTTTTTTTTTTTCTCATCTGTCCTACTTGATACTCTATTTTTTCAATAAATGCATTTGAGTACGTAGTTTTATATGTCATGTTATTTGTTTCATGTAATTTTACATATATGTTATATCAAGTTTGCCTATATAATAATAATAATAATAATAATAATAATAATAATAATAATAATAATAATAATAATAGTTGGCATGGTGTTAGTCCAAGTATACATAAATTATCAATTGAAATGTAAATTAAATAGAATAAATTTCTTTTTTTTTTATTATTATTATTATCTTACAAGCCTAGATAGATATTGTTTTTTTTGGTTGCTTTTGCTTTTGAGCATGTTTAAAAGAAACTATCTTGGCACGATCATATTACAAAATTATAAGTTTAGCTATCAAGAAATCAAATTGATCATGATCAAATCCTAATGAGCATAGATATCATACACCACACAGCCAAAAGCATGTTTTTATTATTTTTTTATATAATTAGAGTCTTTGTGTTTTAATTATAAATTTAGATTAGAATCCTTTTATATTGATATATTCAGTGTGATTACAAATTTACCATTAAAAATATGTCAAAATAAGAGTTTTTTAGGCAGCTCATTATTTTTACAAAATCACTCGTCCTTTTATAATAGTATAGATAGATAGATAAATAGATATAGATATAGATAGATATAGATAGATAGATATAGATATAGATATAGATATAGATAGATAGATATATTAAATGTTAAAAAAATATATTACCATTCTTTTCTAATAATATGTTAGTTTAGTTTTTAAGTAAATTATAAAAGATAAATTTAACTAATATAGAATTCTTTTAACAAGTTTTGAATTTTGTGTTGCAAATTACAATTTTAAATTTTGAAGTTTTTGCCAGAATAATTTTACTAATTAGTTTATAATAAATGAGATGAAAAAATTGAACTATATATGTTAAAAACTTTATTAGGCTATAAAATAAGTGGGAGAAAAGTTTGATTTTCACTTAATTTAATGCCAAATTTGTTTTATTATGCTTAGAAACTGACATGTTTTTTATGAAGATGTTATTGTATAAATATCTAGAGTTTTTTATTTTGTGGATTGCCAAAATCAAATTAATAAATAAACTTAATTATTAAATATTCTTTCTAAAACAATAAAAAATACCAAAATGTTATATTAGGTTGAGTTTTTTTAACTCGTATTATTTCATAGCTTTTTGGAAGGATATAGAAAAATTGTCACATTATACTAATTTGAGTTGTAGACGGATTAGTATCATTGTAAATATATTCACATTTTTTTTATAAAATGGATCATGTCTTTTGAATTGTTTTATTTAATTAAAATAATATAATTTATAATTATCTTTTAATTTTAAATAATATGTAAGTGTGATTTATATAACATAAACAATACAATTTCTAATTATAATTTAATATAACTAATATTTAAAATTAATTTTATTATAAATTTATTTTTAATATTTCTTTTCCTCATCATAATCATAATTAAATTATTTTTAATATTGTTATTTCGTAAATCGCACGGGTGTATAACTAGTCGTGTATGAAGAGGGTAATAAAACAATTGTGCATAAAGAGGGTAATCACTTAAGTGAAATCAAATAAAAAAATAAATTAAAATGATATATTTCCTAATGAGAAAATAAAATTAAAATTAAAAGGAACATGATTAAGTTAAAAATCATACTAAGACCCACTAAGCATAAAACAAAAAATAAATAAATAATAAAACATAAAATATGATAAAAAATATATATATATATAGATATATATATATATAGAGAGAGAAAAGATCATATGAGAATGACTCTTAATGCGAGAAAAGAGAATGAGTCTAGATCATTGGATCCAATATATTAAGGGTCTTGATCAAGTCAAATATTAAATATGGCAGTCAAACATGAGTGGCAATTTTGTAAATAAGTGTATAATCTTTGGTCAGATATTTACATTTGACCACTAAATAAGGACAAATTGGTCATTAAAATACAATCACCCAACAAACACCACGTGGGGCCCACCCCTTCATTAACAAGTCCTCACCCTCTCTCACACACTAACACACACTTAGATAACCTTTTACTCACACGCAGCACACACAAACTTCTGCACTCAGAAACACTCTCTCTCCTCTCTCCTCTCTCCTCTCTCCTGTCTCCTGTCTCCCTCTATTCTCTCTTTCTATCTCACCCTCTCTCCCACTCTCTCTCCACGACAATCGCCGGCCGCTCATCACAACCCGACCACAGCTCGTCGATTCCAACACCACAGTCCGACCACAACTCATCACAGCAACAACAGGTCCGTTGCGCCTCCGTCCGCCACCAGCAACACCCCCCTTTTCCTCCGTCTGCCGCCGTCCACCACCAGCAACACACCCTTCCTCCGCCTGCTGCCGTCCACCGCCGACCGCCATAGCCGACGAACACCTTGCTGGCATAGATCTGGCCTTCTCCAGACACCATACCCGTCTTTCTTCGTTACCGCCGGAGGCCCACCCCGTCAATATGCTCTCGCCGGAATCAGACCAGCCACCGCCGTGAGCAATCACGTCACTGTCCAAACACCACGACGCGACGACGTATACCGGAGATCTTCATCTGGTCGAGGCGGTGGTGGCAGAGCTCGATATCCATGCTCTTGGTCGACAACATCGAGGTCGACGGAGAAGATGACAGTGGAGTCGGGAGGCGGGCGCCGTCGCTCCGATGCGGCGGCGGGTATACAAGCTCAGGCCCATGGCGACGCCGGCTGCGACGCCGACAATGGTGCCGTGAATTTTGACGGGCGATTTGAGATGGTGACGGGAGGGTGTTTTGATTTGGGGGGAGTTTCTTTGAAAATTAGATGACATTTAGGGGCATATTTGCAATTTTAATATTGTTAGTATATTTCAATTTAGGTCATGGATACAATTTGTAATTAATAAATCTTAATTGATATTATAATATTTTCCATTTATTTTATGTTGGCTGGATATAGTTTGATATTGTGCATTCCGGTAGTCAATTATGTGCAATACGTATAGTCATAATGTGCAATCGCAACACGTAAAAACTGTAGATAAAAAAATAGTGTTATTTTTTTCATATAGTTTGACATGTTTGGTTATTCTGTATAAAATCGGTAATATTTTTTTATATAGTTTGACATGTTCGGTTATTTTGTATATTTTAAAAAATTAAATCCGACATTTAACTAACCAATATTATTTGATCGATTATCATAATTAATGTACTTTTTGTATGAAAGCGTGTTGTTTTATAAAGTGCAACATTATATGTTAAAAAGTGCAACATATTGTTGTATACGGTGCAACGTACTAATATATAAAGTGCAATATAAATATATATATATATATATATAATCGGTAATATTTTTTCATATAGTTTGACATGTTTGGTTATTCTGTACATTTTAACAAATTAAATCCGACATTTAACCAACCAATATTATGTTAGATAAACGATATAAAATTACACGGGAATCCTATGAACTGATTTGTAATTTTTCAGTTCTTACAAATAATCAAAAAATAGAAAATTACAATCGAACTGAAAAATAAATTACAATTTATAAAATCAAATTACAATCAAAATTACAACTGAAAAAAAAAAATTACAGAAAGAATTTAGCCGAGGCGAGTAAAACTCTTTCCGCAAGAAGAATACGCCCCGTGTGGCTGCTAACGGTTCAGGCGTAACTTCCCCAAAGATACAACGGCAAACGTCTCTAAATCTGTAGCACACCAGATTTACGAGCTCCGGCGAACAAGAACGGAGTCGAGAATTGAGCACTAATAGGAATAAAATATAAATATTATTTTTATTTCCTCTATATTTTTCTTTCCCTTTCTTTCTTCTGCCGTATTGTGATTTTTCTATCTTCCTTGTGTCTTTTCCACCAAATGATTCGAGTCTGAATTTATAGAGCTTGGGAGCATCATCAATTTGATAATTTGATAATTGAGTTAGACACATTAAAAGCCTACTTGCACTGACTTTTGCAGGTTGCCATTAATATTCTGACAAAATTGCAGGCCATCACCATCTTCTGACAATATAGCAACAAGCCACATTAAATATGTCATGCCACCTTCTCCTCATTTAATATACACTCATAATTATAATAATTAAATATTATAACAATCCCCCACATGAGTGTAAATTAAATATAATATACTATGTGCTCAATCCTCACAAAACTCTATTGCATCAGAAAAAGTAGCTTTTGGCTTTGAACCTTTCTTTGTAAACATCATCGGATGTACTGGCGGACTAGTGGACATGATGCCTTGAACTATTCCTCCATAGTGTACACCTAGTCAATGACATTTACACAATAGAATCTTAACTCCATTCCGTTCTATCGTTGTGTCCGTTTTGGCCATGGACAACACAATGGATTCATAAGTGTTTACATTTGAAGCGGCCCACACTTCACACTTACATAGGTGACGTCCCTATCAAGAGTATCCTGTTAATACTCCACCTTTACAAGGTTAGGGATTCATTAAAAGTCCAAATGACTTACCCTTACCACAATCAACAGGTCATCTTGCACTTGGAGTGCTCTAGGGAATAGCTCTGGACATTCATATGTTCCAAGTGCTTAACTGAATTTTCATAGCTTAGTTTTCCCTTTGAACCAAGTTCGTGGGATCTCCACTCAGCATGGTAGGGTTACCACTATGATCATTCTTTACATTGTGGATTTTTAAGCCCATTCCCTCTAGCAAAACAACCAATTGATCTCTATTCAATCCTTTCGTCAAAGGATCAGCCAAATTTTCCTTAGACTTCACATAGTCAATGGAAATAACACCATTTGAGATCAATTGACGTACGGTATTATGTCTACGACGAATATGTCTAGACTTACCATTATACAAATTGCTTTGCGCCCTACCTATAGCAGCTTGGCTATCACAGTGAATCATCACAGGCAGCAAAGTCTTATCCCAACATGGAATATCTGATAAAAAATTTCTAAGCCACTCGGCTTCTTCACCAGCTTTATCTAAAGCGATGAACTCCGATTCCATCGTTGAACGAGCTATACACGTTTGTTTTGTGGATTTCCACGAAACAGCTCCTCCTCCAATACAGAAAACATATCCGCTAGTGGAGTGAGAATCCCTCGATTCTGATATCCAGCTTGCATCACAGTACCCTTCAAGTACGGCTGGATATCTCGAGTATTTTAGCCCGTATTCAAGGGTGTACCTCAAGTACTTAAGTACCCTTCTCAAAGCATTCCAGTGCTCATGACTGGGATTGCTCGTAAATCTGCTCAACTTACTCACCGAATAGGCCAAGTCTGGTCGTGTACAATTCGTCAAGTACATCAGACTCCCTATTATCCGTGAATAGTCCAACTGAGCCACTGGTTGACCTTTATTGGCTACCAGATTTATACTATGATCAAGGGGTGTTTTACTCATACGCCTAGACTGTGCACCGTCATAGGCATCAAATTTCTTGAGCACTTTCTCTACATAATGAGATTGTGACAAGACAATTCCATCATGGGTCCTGATAATTCTTATTCCAAGAATAACATCAGCCAAACCCATATCTTTCATGTCGAATTTTCTTTTCAACATTTCTTTCGTATCCATGATCACTTCATGGCTACTCCCCATGATCAACATATCGTCTACATATAGACATACAATCACAAATGTATTTGATGTACCCTTGACATAAACACATTTATCACATTCGTTGATTTTGAAACCATTTGACAACATCACGTCATCAAATTTCAAATGCCATTGTTTCGGAGCTTGTTTCAGTCCGTACAATGATTTGATCAATCTACAGACCTTTCTCTCTTGTCCAGGTGCAACAAACCCTTCAGGTTGTTCCATGTATATTTCTTCTTCCAATTCACCATTCAAAAATGCCGTCTTGACATCCATTTGGTGAATCTCAAGATTGTGCAAAGCAGCAATCGAGAGAAGCACTCTTATCGACGCTAAACGCGTAACTGGTGAATAGGTATCAAAGAAATCATACCCTTCTTTTTGTTTAAAGCCTTTGACCACCAATCGAGCTTTAAACTTATCAATCGATCCATCAGCTTTATATTTCTTCTTTAGGATCCACTTGCATCCTAAAGGTTTACAACCATCAGGGAGATCAACCAACTCCCAAGTATGGTTCTGCATAATAGACTCGATTTCGCTATTAATAGCTTCTTCCCAAAGTGGTCCATCTGGGCTGGACAGAGCTTCCTTAATGGAACTCGGTTCATTGTCCAACATGTACGTAATAAAATCAGGTCCAAACGTTCTCACCGTTTTTACCCTTTTACTACGTCTCAGTTCTTCATCAGTACCCTCTGGTACAGAACCACTAGCAGTTTCATAAGTTCTTTTATTAGAACTAGATTCTGCCATTTCCTTCATAGGAAAAACATTCTCAAAGAATATAACATTCCTTGACTCAATCGTGGTACCAACAGATACCTCTGGATTTTCTGATTTATGAACCAGAAATCTATATGCCATACTATTGTACGCATATCCAATAAATACACAATCGACCGTCTTTGGCCCGATTCGCATTTGTTTTGGTTCAGGTACTGAAACCTTAGCCAAACACCCCCACACTTTCAGGTATTTATAAGACGGCTTACGATTTTTCCACAATTCGTAAGGAGTCTTATCTTTCCCTTTAGGTGGTATTTTATTCAGGATATGATTTGCTGTCAAAACAGCTTCCCCCCACATGTTCTGGGGTAATCCTGAATTTATCAACATGGCATTCATCATTTCTTTTAAAGTACGGTTCTTGCGTTCAGCAACACCGTTCGACTGTGGAGAATAAGGGGCCGTCGTTTGATGAATTATGCCATATTCAGAACATATTGGTTCAAAAGGAGCTACATACTCCCCACCTCTATCACTTCGGATTATTTTAATCCTCTTGCCGAGTTGATTTTCAACTTCGGTTTTATAGATTTTAAATACTTCCACAGCCTCGTCTTTGCTTCTTAACAAATATAAGTAGCAAAACCTTGTGCAATCATCGATAAAAGTTACAAAATACTTTTTACCGGTTCTTGTTTGCACACTTTTCATATCACATACATCAGTATGGATTAAGCCTAATGGTTCAGTACTCCTTTCCACCGAGTGAAAAGGCAACTTAGCCATTTTTGCTTCAACACATATTTCACATTTCTTATGTGATTCAATTTTAGAATTAGGAATTAATTCTAAATTCATCAACCGTTTAATTGCATTTAGATTTACATGTCCCAATCTAACATGCCATAAATCACAACACTCAACTGTATAAACAGAAATAGGCTTTTCATTTTCATTAGCAACGGTTACACGGCTCACAGCCATTACATTCATTTTGAACAAACCCTTGTCGATATATCCACGACCAAGGAATGTTCCAAACTTGCTAAGAACAAACTTCTTAGCGTCAAACACAAGCCTAAATCCATGCTCAACAAGAAGAGATCCAGAGACTAAATTCTTGCGGATGTCTGGGACATGCAGAACATCCTTAAGCTTTAACTCCTTTCCAGAAGTAAGCTTCAGCA